AAGCTCTTTTTTCTTTTTCTTTTTATTGTGCTTACTTTTTTTGTTCTTTCTTTCTTTGTTAATTTAGCTCATCACTTTATTTTCAAATTTTGTCTTTATTATCAATTAATTAATCTTATTATTTCAAATTTTTTCTTCATTTTTTCCTTCTAATTAACTATTTAATGATATATTTTTTCTTCAATATTTAAAAAGTTGGAATAAAATTGGTGATAAAGGTGCATCAGGCTTAGGTTCTGCTTTAGCAAATTGCATTAATCTCTCAAATTTGACACTTGACCTTGGGTAAAAACAGTTTATTTGTTTTGGATTGTGATATTTTTAATTATAAAAACTAATTTAAAACAACAAAGCTCTTTTTTCTTTTTCTTTTTATTGTGCTTGCTTTTTTTGTTCTTTCTTTCTTTGTTAATTTAGCTCATCACTTTATTTTCAAATTTTGACTTTATTATCAATTAATTAATCTTATTATTTCAAATTTTTTCTTCATTTTTTCCTTCTAATTAACTATTTAATGACATATTTTTTCTTCAATATTTAAAAAGTAACAATTAAATTGGTGCAATGGGTGCATCAGGCTTAGGTTCTGCTTTAGCAAATTGCATTAATCTCTCAAATTTGACACTTGCCCTTGGGTAAAAACAGTTTATTTGTTTTGGATTGTGATATTTTTAATTATAAAAACTAATTTAAAACAACAAAGCTCTTTTTTCTTTTTCTTTTTATTGTGCTTGCTTTTTTTGTTCTTTCTTTCTTTGTTAATTTAGCTCATCACTTTATTTTCAAATTTTGCCTTTATTATCAATTAATTAATCTTATTATTTCAAATTTTTTCTTCATTTTTTCCTTCTAATTAACTATTTAATGATATATTTTTTCTTCAATATTTAAAAAGTAGGAATTAAATTGGTGATGAAGGTGCATCAGGCTTAGGTTCTGCTTTAGCAAATTGCATTAATCTCTCAAATTTGACACTTGACCTTGGGTAAAAACAGTTTATTTGTTTTGGATTGTGATATTTTTAATTATAAAAACTAATTTAAAAAACAATAAAGCTCTTTTTTCTTTTTCTTTTTATTGTGCTTGCTTTTTTTGTTCTTTCTTTCTTTGTTAATTTAGCTCATCACTTTATTTTCAAATTTTGCCTTAATTATCAATTAATTAATATTATTTTTTCTTCATTTTTTCCTTCTAATTAACTATTTAATGATATATTTTTTCTTCAATATTTAAAAAGTTGGAATAAAATTGGTGATGAAGGTGCATCAGGCTTAGGTTCTGCTTTAGCAAATTTCATTAATCTCTCAAATTTGACACTTTAACTTCTGTAAAAACAGTTTATTTGTTTTGGATTGAGATATTTTTAATTATAAAAACTAATTTAAAACAACAAAGCTCTTTTTTCTTTTTCTTTTTATTGTGCTTGCTTTATTTGTTCTTTCTTTCTTTGTTAATTTAGCTCATCACTTTATTTTCAAATTTTGCCTTTATTATCAATTAATTAATCTTATTATTTCAAATTTTTTCTTCATTTTTTCCTTCTAATTAACTATTTAATGACATATTTTTTCTTCAATATTTAAAAAGTAGCAATTAAATTGGTGCAATGGGTGCATCAGGCTTAGGTTCTGCTTTAGCAAATTGCATTAATCTCTCAAATTTGACACTTGACCTTGGGTAAAAACAGTTTATTTGTTTTGGATTGAGATATTTATAATTATAAAAACTAATTTAAAACAACAAAGCTCTTTTTTCTTTTTCATTTTATTGTGTTTGCTTTTTTTGTTCTTTCTTTCTTTGTTAATTTAGCTCATCACTTTATTTTCAAATTTTGACTTTATTATCAATTAATTAATCTTATTATTTCAAATTTTTTCTTCATTTTTTCCTTCTAATTAACTATTTAATGACATATTTTTTCTTCAATATTTAAAAAGTTGGAATAAAATTGGTGCAATGGGTGCATCAGGCTTAGGTTCTGCTTTAGCAAATTGCATTAATCTCTCAAATTTGACACTTGACCTTGGGTAAAAACAGTTTATTTGTTTTGGATTGTGATATTTTTAATTATAAAAACTAATTTAAAACAATAAAGCTCTTTTTTCTTTTTCTTTTTATTGTGTTTGCTTTTTTTGTTCTTTCTTTCTTTGTTAATTTAGCTCATCACTTTATTTTCAAATTTTGCCTTAATTATCAATTAATTAATCTTATTTTTTCTTCATTTTTTCCTTCTAATTAACTATTTAATGATATATTTTTTCTTCAATATTTAAAAAGTGAAAATTAAATTGTTGATGAAGGTGCATCAGGCTTAGGTTCTGCTTTAGGAAATTGCATTAATCTCTCAAATTTGACACTTTAACTTCGGTAAAAACAGTTTATTTGTTTTGGATTGTGATATTTTTAATTATAAAAACTAATTTAAAACAACAAAGCTCTTTTTTCTTTTTCTTTTTATTGTGTTTGCTTTTTTTGTTCTTTCTTTCTTTGTTAATTTAGCTCATCACTTTATTTTCAAATTTTGCCTTTATTATCAATTAATTAATCTCATTATTTCAAATTTTTTCCTTCTAATTAACTATTTAATGATATATTTTTTCTTCAATATTTAAAAAGTGAAAATTAAATTGGTGATGAAGGTGCATCAGGCTTAGGTTCTGCTTTAGCAAATTGCATTAATCTCTCAAATTTGACACTTGACCTTGGGTAAAAACAGTTTATTTGTTTTGGATTGTGATATTTTAAACAAAAAAAATGAATATAAAACAAAAAAGCTCTTTGAATTTATTTGATAGGTTTATTTATTTAATTTTTTTATCTTTTTTATTCAACTAATATTATTTTATTTATTAATTTAAAGAATAATTTTTAATTTAAAAGTTTATTCTATTTTGATATTTATTAATAATTTACACAAATTTATTATAAAAGTTCTAACTCAATGGATGAATATTAATTATTCAAAGTAATAAGCAAGTGTCGTAAATCAAAAAGATTAGTTGTCTTTCTAATGATAAACTGGTGAAAAAAGGATGAATAAATATAAAATGTTTGAATAATATTATATATTTTATTATATAATATTTTGAAAAAAATTTAAACCTAAAATATAAATATAAATAGATTTTATTATTGATTTTATATTTATAAATATCATTCATATTTTTGTAAGTAAATAAATTATTTATAAAAAATAAAAAATAAATGCTCTTAAGCAAACTCTCTGGTTTCTCCAAAAACGATCAAACAATTTGAAACTTTTAGTGTTTTTTTACATCTTATTAAATTATATAAATACCAAACTTTATATGCCAGTTCTATTTTAATCTTAAATATTATGTTTCAATCATATTTTTTATCCTTTTTTATTTATCTTGATTAATTAGATGTCATGATTTAAATAAAACCTCAGGGAGAAATCAAGTTTTACTTTTTATTTTAACTTTTTTGTTTATAATGTTTATTTTTGTTTTTTTTTCTCAAATTTTTAATTTATCTTATTATCATTTTTATCATTTAAATTTTTAAAAATCATAAAATAATTGTTTATTAAATTATCATTTATTCATTCAGATAATACAAATTTAATTTTTTTATTCAATAATATTTAGAGTAAATTAATCAATTTAAAAGTTGTTAATGTCGAATTTGGCTTTAAAAAGCTTATTTCATATCAAGAATTTTTATAATTTTTTATTAATGTGGAATTATAAATTTTAAAATGCTTATCTTATTTTATATAAAAAAATGTTCTCTAAATATTCTAGAAAAATGCAAATCGTTTAATTAATTAATTTTCTTTTTTTTTTTATGTATTTTCAAACAAATTTATTATAAAAAATGAAAAATTTTGATATTTATTTTTAATTAAAAAAAGGAATATAAATAAATACAAATTATTAGAATATTTATTTATTTGTTTTAATTAAATTTCAAATATTCAATTTGGTTGATTTTTCTTTCTTATAATTAATTTAAAATCTGAAAATTTGTTTTAAAATAAAAAATTGATATTTAAGAAAATCAGAAGAAGTTTTTTTAAGATATGTAAAAGGTAATTAATTAATTTAATATAAAATCCAAGTTATAAAATTTTAATGTTCATTTTTTTAATTAAAGCCTTCGACATCTTCTTATTTTGAGTTCTAAAATATTGATTTAGAGTAATTTAATAAACATTTATTTTTATTGTTAGTTTATAACTAACTAACTAACTAACTAACTTATTTAATTTTGTCTTTAGAAATTTAAATATTGTACAAAATAAGAAATTATTTTATATTTAATAAGGTGTAAATATTTTTAGTATAGTGATGAAGACTAAGATATAGATTATAGGTAATCAAAATGTCTATCTTTAGCTGATTTAAATTATAAATTTCAACAACCTATATTTTATTAATCTTAGAATTTATTTTTACTATTTTCTTTAAATATTTTAGTAATATTTAAAAGCAGAAGGTGATAGTTAAAAGAAAGTTTTCAAATTTATTATATCAGCTATCTAAATGTTAGAATCTCTCATTTTTAAGACTAGATCTAGAGTAAATTTTGTTGATTTTGTTTATTTTTTTAAGGTTTTAAATCTAAAGAAATAAATTAATTTTTCTATGTATTTATTGAAAGATTAATAAATGAACCATTTTTTATTTTAATTACAATAATACTTTTTTTCATTTTAAAGTTAGTTTAAATTTGTTGGAAATGAAAACTTTTAATTTTAATTTTAATTTTTTAAACAAACAACAATTTTATTTACTATTAAGGAAAAGTTTCAATCATCAATCAGACTTGGATTACGAAAAAATGGGTTGTGAATTAGCAAAGTGCAAAAAACTCAGGCGTTTATGCATCGATTTTAGGTAAATTATTAATTTATTTATTTTTGAACTAATTCAAAAAAAATAGCATTAGATTTTATTAATTTTTGATGAATTTGCAATTTATTTTCTTAATAAATATCTAATAATAAAATTATTTATTTAATTATTCTAGAAGTCATAATGAAATTACAAAATAATTTACTTCCCAATTAAGCTTAGGATTAAGATAATTATCTAAACTTTAAAATCTTGAACTCGATTTTTCGTAAGTTCAATTAATATATTTTCATTCGTTTTTTCAAAGATAATCAGTACTTACTCTTTTATAACCCAACCTTTAAAAGACAGACTGACAGACAGACTATTTATTTATTAATATATTTTACAATAATTATTATTGATTAAATTTATCAAAAATAATTGTCAAATGGATAGCTACAGTATAACTTTACTAGGATCTGCAATTTAAAAGTGTTTTAAGCTAACAAGTTTAGAGTTATCCATAAAGTAAATAAAACATTTTTAGATAATTTCTAATATTTAAAATTCTTTACTATTAAATCATACATACATACATACATACATACATACATACATACATACATACATACATACATAAATAAAATTTGATTAACAACTTTAATTTCTAAAAAAGTTCAATATAAATGGATTATAATTCTTTTTAAGAATTAAGCTCTAAATTATCTAAATTAACTAATCTGGAATTTTTGACACTTAATCTAGAGTAAATTTTTATCTTTTTGACAACTTAAAATTTTTTTTGTAGAACTGTTTTAATACATATATACATTTTAAACAAACTAATATTTTTTAGTTAGTTTTTTTAATATTTATTAATAAAAAGTAACAATAAAATTAAAGATGAAGGAGTTATTAGATTAAGTCATACTATTTCTTAGTTTAGAAATCTTTATAGTCTGACACTTTCATTAGAGTAAATAAATTGAAGATATTAATTTTATTTTTTTTATAATATATATCTTAATTTAAATAAAACATAAATTTTTAAAAACCCAATCATAAAAAGAAAAAGAAAAGTAAATAAATAGATAAATAGATAGATAATGAATGAATAAATGAATGTATTTAATTTATTGATCAATTTGTTTTTTCAATCTTCTTCTTTTTCTTTTATTTTTAAAAAATTTCTGCTCTAATTATTTAATTTTAATAAATTTGATAATAAAAAGCATGAATAATATTACTAGTATAGGAGCATAAAATCTAATGGTAAGTTTAAAAAAATGTACATATATTCGCAAACTAAATCTTAACTTGAAGTAATTTTATTCATTTATTTAATTATATTTTGAATTGATTTCTAAATCACAGAGAAGATTCAAATTAATTTTGATTATTTTACATTTAATTTTTGCAAGACATACATAAAGAAAGAAAGATAAACAGACAGACAGACTTTCTTTATTATGTTTTTAGATAAAAATTTAAAACTATTTAATATAATAGTTAGAATTTAATTAATAATTATGGACTATCACATATAGGTATTCAATTAAAAAATTGAAAAAGCTTAATTCACTCAATCTAAGTTTAAAGTAAAATAAATAAATATTTTTAAAATAAATTCATCAATTTAAATAAAATATTCAATTTCAATTCATAAAAAAAAATAACTTAAAAATTTGAATTTTTTTAGAAGAAAATTAATTAATTAATAAATTTATTTATTTATTTGGGTTTATTTTTTATTCTAAAAAATGTAAGTTTTAATTTTAAAATATCAATAAAATTCTTTTTGTTTGAAAAGTGATAATTAAATTAGTGATTAAGGTGTAGCAATTTTAGGATAGACTTTAACTGAATATTTTAAACTGACTGAATTATATATTGATCTAAGGTAATTTAATTTATTTCTTTTATAAACTCAAATATAAATAAATAAATAAATACATTTTTATCTTAAATAAAAAACTAATTTAGTTAACTATTTATTTTTTACTTATATTAATTATTGTTAATTAATTAAAATTAAGTCAAATTAATATTTTTAAAAATGATCAAATTTTTAATATGAATAAAATTTATTTATACTTCAAAGTGACAATCAAATAAGTGACGAAGTTGTAAAAATGTTAGGTTATGCTTTAACTAATTGTTTTAAACTGACTTAATTATCAATTTGTTTAAAGTAAATTAATTAATTTATTTACATCTTTTATAACAAACAGATCTAATGTAAACGAATATACTTTGATCTTAAATAAATAAATCAATCAATCAATGACAAATTTAATTATTTTTTGTTAATTAATTAAAATGAAGTTCTGACTTTATTACTTAAGAGGGTATACAAGCTTTAGGATTTGAATTAAACAAGTGCTGTAAACTTTCTTCTATTGATATTGATTTGATATGATATTATTTAATTACTTTATTTATCTTATCAAAACAAATAAAATCTTGAATCTAAAATTTTTTAATATAAATTTATTTTATGCTAATGAAGTTTGCAAATTTATTAATTTTTAATTTTAATATTTGATAAATATCTTATTAATCCATTTTGTCTATATCATATTTTTTACAAAATCAATTTGTCAATTTTGTTTTGATTTTCAAATAAACAAACAATCAAATTAAAAATAAAATATTAATATAATGATAGATTTCACAATCTATTAATATATAAATTAATTAATTTTTAATTAAATAAAATAAGAAAAAGAAAAACAACATAAAATTAATTCACAATTTAAATTATTTATTTTAAATTTAAAAGTAAACAAATAAATTTATAAATATATAATTACATAAAATTAAAAAATTAATTAATTAATTTATTTTTTTATTTATTTTAATATGTAGCTTCTCAGCTACAGAAAAAATTTGCTGCAAATAGCAATAATACCACATTAAAAAAAATTTCATAAAT